TTTTGGGGTTCAGGGTGATTTTAGGGTGCCACTTTTGGGGTTCAGGGTGATTTTAGGGTGCCACTTTTGGGGTTCAGGGTGATTTTAGGGTGCCGTTTTTGGGGTGCAGGCTGTTTTTGGGGTCTCACCGTGCCCCCCAGCACCGAGGCCGAGTGCAGCTCCAGGTCCCCGTCCACGTTGACGGCCGTCACCTGCTCCGGGGGCAGCCGGTGCGGGAACTCCTCGTAGAAGGTGCCGTTCACCAGGATCTGGGGGGGCAGAGGGTCGGGGACCCCGAAATAGCCCCGGGACACCCCAAAATACACCCGGGACACCCCCAGAAACCCCAAAATAGCCCCGGGACACCCCAAAATACACTCGGGACACCCCCAGGAACTCCAAAACACACCCGGGACACCCCAAATACACACCCAGAAATCCCAAATACACCTCGAGACACCCCAAAACACACCCGGGACACCCCAAAATAGCCTTGGGACCCCAAAATAGCCCCAGGACACCCCAAATACCCACCCAGGAACCCCAAAAATACCCCTGGGACACCCCAAAAATACCCCTGGGACACCCCGAAATAGCCCCGGGACCCCCCAAAACACACCCGGGACACCCCAAATACCCACCCAGGAACCCCGAAGTACACCTGGGACCCCAAAATAGACCCGGGACACCCCAAAATACACCCCAAATACACCCAGGACACCCCAAAACACACCCGGGACGCCCCAAAATACACCCGGGACACCCCCAGGAACCCCAAAATACCCCGGGACACCCCGAAATACACCCGGGGCACCCCAAAAATATCCCCGGGACACAAAAACACAGCCGGGACACCCCAAAATACCCCCTGGGACCCCAAAATACACCCCAAATACACCCAGGACACCCCAAAACACACCGGGGACACCCCAAAATACACCCGGGACACCCTCAGGAACCCCAAAATACCCAGGGACACCCCAAAATACACCCGGGGCACCCCGAAATACACCCGGGGCACCCCAAAAATATCCCCGGGACACAAAAACACAGCCGGGACACCCCAAAATACCCCCTGGGACCCCAAAATACACCCCAAATACACCCGGGACACCCTCAGGAACCCCAAAATAGCCCCGGGACACCCCGAAATACACCCGGGGCACCCCAAAAATATCCCCGGGACACCCCCAGGAACCCCAAATACACCCGGGACACCCTGAAATACCCCTGGGACCCCGAAATACACCCCAAATACAGCGGGGACACCTCAAAATAACCCCGGGACACCCCCAGGAACCCCCCCAAATCCTCCCCTAATGACCCCAAATCCCCCCAAGGACCCCCCTA